AATGTCACCTCTCCCCAGTGATGCCAGGGCACTTTTTATACTCACTGAAAGTGGTGCATTTGCCACTAATGATGAGGCACAACCCTTCACGTGTGATTGTTGGCCCACCACTTGAGCCATTTTGGACAAAAGACTCTTTTGCACTACTGGTACTCTTCCTCTTAATAGTATGTCAAAGCAAGGGTTTGAGAATCGGTTTATTCATTATTTTGGAATGCAGGAACTGCTTACTTTTAAGGAATAGTCTAGCTAACGTAGAACTGTTGCCAGAAAGTTTAATTTAAAATTGAGCTCATAGGTTCTAAAAAACTGAGTACACTGCATCCATATTATGAGTTTGTCTGAGCATATTAGGGGGGGTGGCATTGGAACTCAGCAGACCTCTGTGTGTGTTAGGAAAACATGTGATTACATGGCTAAAAGGGTGTGTTGATAACATATATTTTTTTTAGTTCTGTGTTGTATGTATTAAGTTGCATAATGATCCCAAGTCAGTGAATAATTTATTCTGTGAATGTGAGGTATTAATGCCTAATTATAGAGAGTGTAAAAATTAATTATCCCAGTCTGTTAGAGAAGTGATTGCTCTGACTCATCTGGATTTCAGAGGTCGATCTGCAATTACTCTCGTATATCAATCAATATTCGTAGAATCAGGCTAGGTTCACACGTAGGCGATTTATCGCGCGGATTGTATTTGCGCGATATGGCGCAAAACACAGATGCACATTGAAGTCAATGGAGGATGTTCACACCTTTGAGAATTGTCGCGCGGACGAGATCGCCTTTCGCACAAAAAGGTGCAGTAGCTATTTTCGGGCGGTTGTCACGCGGTTTGGGTCCCATAGACATCTCTATGCATTAAAAGCCACGGGACAGTGGCGCGATTGAAAACCGTGCGAAAACAACTCAGCATTTGAATCGCCTAGGTGTGAACCAAGCCTAAAGTTTTCATGAATGCTACATGCTCCCTTAAATTTCTTTGAGTGCCCTAATAATATATAGTATATAATCAACAAAGATTTACTGAAGATTTTATTGTGTATGTGGAGCATTAGGAGAAAAATGTCTAATATTAAAATGTTCATATTAAAACTGAAATATTTGCACTGCAAATTTTCAGAGCACATTGAAAACCAGACAAGCATAAGGTGCTAGTTTAAAATATTTTATTAACCTTCCTGGCGGTATTCCCGAGTGTGGCTCGGGGTTAATTTTCAGTACCATAAGCGGTAGCCCCGAGCCACACTCGGGATTACACAGTAGCCTTATACATAACACGCAAGGGCAAGGTCAGATTGGACTGAGTGGTTTATATATAGTGAGTGGGGTGACATCATCACTCAGAGACAGGAAACTCCCATCTGGCTCTCTCAGATGATGCTCCCTGTTTGGCCATCAGAAGGAGCCTGGGAGTAGTGAGCAATGTTACACAGTGTCAGGAACAGATAACGCTCCGTAGCCCCAGACCATGGCGGGGACGGCCCCGTCAACAGCATCTTGTTGCTGGGCGACGGACGGGCGCTCCTCAGCGCTCCACTCCTCCCTCTTCTGAACAGCTGAGCGGGCGTGATGACGCGGCGAGCTCGGCCCAGCGGCGTCCCGTTGCTAGGAGAAGTTCGGGTCAGGTCTTCCCTCCGGTTCCGCCCCCAACCACCGTTCTCTGCCTACATAAACGTAGGCTGTCCACTTGCTCGACGTTCTAGCAAAGTAGTACGTCGAGCAAGCTACTTAGGAACTGCACAAAACCTTGGAAAAAGGAGAGCCTGCTACAGCCTCTTTGAACCCCTAGCTCTATTATACTTGGACTCCACGCAGAGTGGATTCAGCTTCACATCCTGGGACTGCCTCCCCCACCAAACAGCAAGTAGCCATTAAACACATGTTGTAATCAATTGGAGTGTGAAAGCTGAAACCTAGCTGGGAAGCTCTGCTATCCCTCATTCTCTCTCATTGCCACTGACACCATTCTATTGCTGCATAGGACTGTGTTATCTTATTAAGAATTAAGTGATTCCATGTTCTGGGTTAGTGAAGATAACTAAGACCAAGATACCAACCGTATCATAACCCTATACTCTAGCCATTGTATTATCTGGAGTTACCTACGCTCATCACCCCTAGTGAAGTTAACTAGGCGAGTGAACTACAAATCCTATCAGACCCCAATGCTGGTAAATTGTGGTTATGTGAGAATTTGCTGCCACTACTAAAATACTATTATAACAAATGGTGTATGATGTGTAAGGGGTTCCGACTTCACTCACTGCACTAAAGTGTAACCGTGAACCCTCCATCTGAACCATTTCCACTCACCTCCGCAGCTGCGATCCTATACACATATCTTGCTGTGCTTGCACGAATCATTACACACAGTCTGCTCACACAAAAGAGGAATCACAGGTGGGTGGAATGGCAGCCAAGCCAGAATGCTGCAAACCAGTTAAGTCAGGGTGGAACCCTGACAGTAACCTCCTCTCAACAACCCTGGCTTAGAGGGAAAACAAACACGGAAGGAGCGCAACAGATCGGGGTAGTGAACGTCTTCAGATGCTGCCCAAGAGCGTTCCTCCGGACCAAATTACCAAATTTCCTTTCCAATTAACCAAATACTGCAAACGGCCCCTGGACACACAGGAATCAATTATACTGTGAATAACATACTCCTCATGGTCATTGACTATGACAGGTCTAGGACTGGTAGCAGAAGAAGTGAAGCGATTACAGATCAGTGGCTTAAGGAGTGAGACATGGAAAACATTGGGAATGAGCATGGACGTAGGGAGGTCTAGTGCATAGGCTACTGGATTGATCTTGCGAAGGATACAATGTGGTCAAACGTAACGGGGAGCCTGCTTGTTGGTGGGAACCTGGAGGTGCAAATTGCGAGAGGATAGCCAAGCCATACATGTAGTCAAGAACCAGCTGCACTCCTTACCGGAATAGTAGTAAACCTGCCAAGCAGGTGGGTGCTTGTAGTGACCATGGCCGGCCCCGTGAACAATGCAGATCTAGAAAGGATTGTCACCAGCACACCAAAAGTTTTGAAGCAAAAAGTCCTTTATTGACATATCGCCATCCAATACCTTGTATTGGATGGCGATATGGCGATATGTCAATAAAGGACTTTTTGCTTCAAAACTTTTGGTGTGCTGGTGACAATCCTTTCTAGATCAGGATAGCCAAGCCCTCTCCCTCACCTGGTAGGATGAAGCGGGCATACGTCTACGATTAGCCTGGAGCTTTCGGTCTCGAAGACACTCCTGAACCTGTACCCATGTGGAGCGGAGCTCTTGAAGATGGTCCTCCAAAGCCGGTAACCTTTGAGATTGTAAAGAATCTGACAACACTGTAGGTTGAAACCCAAAGCTCACCAGGAAGGGTGAAAGGTGAATAGAAGTGTCGATGTGGCTATTATGAGCGAACTCTGCCCACGGTAACAGGTCCGATCAGTTGTCATGATGGTCCTAGATGTAACACTGGCGGGAAAAGCCGTCAGCCAGACCGAGGCAAATAGGAAACAATGTAGTTGAAATAAGACAAGAATAAGGCCCATCTGGCCTGCTGCTGTACTCCCCAAAAGACATGTCCATGGCTGATAGGTTCTTGTCAGGTATCACTAACACTATTGATCCCTTGAGATGGAACAGCTGCACTCTGCCATAAGATCCTTTAGATGGGGCATGACCCCAGGCTGCGATGATCTCCCAGCGGAGCTCTATGTAGTGCTGTGGGACCTCGTTGGTCCAGACCTGCCTGAGCTGTACGAGAAGATGGCGGTTGGAGGACAGAATACCTCCTTCGCTGAAGAAGGGGATGATCACGATCTTGAATAAGCAGAAGGCGGAGTGATGTGACAAAAAATTGGTGTCCTATTTCTCTCCTGAATGCAGACTACAAGATCAGCACCAAGGTACTGCCCAACAGGCTCAAGGCAGTCATTAAACAGATAATCCATTCGGATCAGACTTGCAAAATTCCTGGATGCAGGATTGTGGAAAGCCTCGCGCTTGTCTTGACCTTGCCTTGGCTTGATTTTGACCACCACTTCTGCCTCACACTTTACCGCATTGCCCACATGTTGCTGACCTCGGCCTGCACCTGACTAGGTTCCTGCCTTTTGTCTTGGTAACCCGCTGACTGCCTGTTAATGACTCGGCCTGCCCTTGACCACAGTTCCATCAACAAACTTGTCCAGAACTGCAAGGTCTTCAGCTGAGCTTCAGGGGCAAAAGTCAACTGCTGGAAGTTGAAGCCATGCTCTTCGGAAACTGGTACAGGTCTTCCAATGCGCCCATCCCCTTCAACATCAGAGCGGATTTCATAAAAATCTTGTGCGTGTGATTTGGAGATAAGGATGCAGCCCTACAATCTTGGGAGGAGAGATGGTCTAAAATGAACCAAAAGTTTGGCAACTGGTGCATCAGAGAACTCACAATTCAGGGAAAGACACTGGTACTCTGCAGTGAGATTCTCCCAGTTTTGCATTACCTCACCCACGCCTGCCCTGCTTGGGTGTACACCTGCAATGCCATCACCAGGGCAGTCTTTTACTTCATCTGGGGCTCCTACATGGGCAGAGTAAAGTGGGAAAACATGGTAAGGGAGCACCTGACAACGTCACCATGCTGAGGATTCTTTGCTTGCAACTGCATCCACAAAGCTTAAATTGATAAAACTTTGGACTCTAGGGCTAACTCCATGTCCTGTTTTTAACTCCTGCCTCTTTTGAGGTCCCTTGGATGAGACAAATGATATAGCACCATCCCCTACAACTGGGACACTCCTTGGTTTTACTTGGACACTTTTAAACTTATTAAGGAGCAAGGGCTGCATGGGGTTAAGTTCAACTTATCAGAGATAAGGTCATTGTGGATTCTGTTCAGGGCCTTCTTCTGAATACCTGTAAATGTGTCTAAAGAAATGTGTAATCTAACAGACTTACCAACAAGCATAGAAATCTGGCATGGATGGTGATCCAAGGAAGGTTGCCCATAAGAACTTTCATGCATGCCGGAAACCTGTGCTGATACAGGCATTGCCCATGGTGTAGCACCAAAGAAAAAAAACTTCTTTGCATTTCTTTACACCGGCGCCCGCAACTTCCCCACAGGGTCACCGCTGCCGCCCGTCGGCGCTCTGCCGCCCCGAGGCCGGGCCTCGGTGGCCTTGTGGGAAATCCGGGCCTGCCTAGAACATGAACTCAAAAACTTTGTGCCACAGACAGCGATTTCTCACCTTGGAGTGCTGTATAGACTATTTTATGTTGTTTTTATGGAATATGACATTGATAGTGCTGACAGAAGATGTTTTGCTTCAAGGATGCTTTGTGGTGTGGCAGAAAGTGCCTCATCCACCAGATGGAGATGATGTCCATTGAAGACTGTCACAGACTGGTTCACCGTCTGATCAGAGATTATACCTTTATAGACTTTAAGGAGGAGGAGGATGACTGACAAGATTTCCTTTTCCCCACTCTCCTTTTTGTATCTTTGTCCATCAATAAAGCTACAGTCTGTGACCTCTCCCACCTCAAGTATCTTTCTTCCTTATCCCCCATCACACATGTTGCTTTTTGAAGGTTTACTATATAAAAGTTGTTTTATGGAGTGCTGGTAGTACATTACATTACTATGTGGTCAGCTGCAACACAATTGTGTTGATAAGGTGCGTAAAAAAAAAGAATAAATGGCATCATATCACACCAATGTGCACACCACAGTGAAACAGTATGAACCTGGCCTGAAGAATTCAAATTGGCAATCAAGATTCCAAACATCCAGGGACAAAGGGACATTCCCAGGGAATGGTGCTGTACTGGAAATGTAGAAGATAATAAATCGTGTGTAGACAGATCAGATTATTGATGGATTTTTTTTTTACACACAGGTGCACATTCTTCTCTCCTACCATTTAACATTCAACAGATAGGAGGCTTGTAATGGAATCTTGGAGGCTTGTAATGGAATGGAATGGAATAGATAACTCCCTTATCGAAAACATTTGGGAAGTCCACATCGTTCAGCTGATTGCAAGAACACGATGCTGCTGTGCTGGTTATTCAATGCTTGAGATACTCCACATTCCATAGACATTAACGATGATCCAAACCAGGAGATGATGTCTGCTATGCTGGCTTAATGAAAACACATTTCATTTGTTACTTGGAGTCTTTATTTTTCCTTTGTTAGTTATGAAACACAGATAGATATAGACGTCTACATGCAAAGAATAAAAATGGCAGCAGCTGCTTGATCACTTCTAAACATATAGAAATATATCAACAGTGCTCACCTTAGCTGCTTAGCTGCTTACTCTAGATAGGCAGAGCCAGCTGTAATTCACACAGCTGGGTGGATCCAGACAGAATTGTCGGGATCCGTTCCGGCTGCGGCATCTCAGTATACCGTGAGCTGTAGCTCGCGGTATACTGAGCTTTGGGTGACAGGAGGACGCTAGTTTGTGTCCTCCCGTTACCCTTAGGAGAACTATGGGGAAAAGCCCTGACCCCATAGTTCTCCTTTAACCCAAAGCCCTCATTTACACTAGAAAAGGCCACCACGTACAGCTCTGTGCTGCGTGCCGTATCGCTCAGCTCCCGGGAAGGACAGGGGCTGCGTGTGATTATTTTGCAGCCCCTGTCCTTCTCTATGGGAGTACGAGGCCATACGCCGTCCTACGCTCACCCCAAGTGCATGTCCATACGGGTGCATGTTTCCTGGTTCGGACGCAGGCAGGATCCATCCTGTCAGCGTACGAGTATGGACACCCGCAGGGTGGACGTGCAGGGCGGGTGAGGGTAGGACAGCATATGGACGCGTACTAATCACAAGCAGCAACTGTCCTTCCCGGGTGCTGCCCGATACGGCCGTGCACGCAGCCCAGAGCTGTATGTGCCGGCCTTTTCTAGTATGAATGAGGGCTTAGGGAGTATCTAACCAAAAATGTAATTCCTCTTGCAGGGAATACCTAAAATTTTACTTGTATCTTAGTGCAGACGTCTGTCAAAATCAGTCAGCCAATCACAGAGGCAGAAAGTGACATTTCTGAGGGTGTTTATACACTATTTACAGACTTTTAAACATTTTACTTTACTTTTTGTAATTCTTAGCTCCAGCTTGTTGATTTCAACAGGATTGGAATCTGCTCAGCAACAGAGAAATCCGGCATCGTAGGTGACAAATTTGCTTTTAGTATAGATTTTTAAGCAAAATGGCATTTAATATTATTTTAATGATATATATTGTTCCGCCATGCCTATACAAGTACTCTAAAGGCTTATTAAATCTTGTCTGAAGCCATGGGGTCAGTTATCAGTGACATTCATGAAGACATTGCATATCTGTGTCTACAGTTTCCCACAGGCATCCAGCAAAATGTAAATAATGAAAGCTGGAAATGTCAAGATCTTGTCAAAAGTGGAACAATATGGATAACGACTTGTATTAACAAAGTAGATTTCTTTTTTCACTGGCTCAAAAAACTAACCTGGGCCAACAAGGAAATACATTTAAAGTAAATATTTCTGGCCTTTTTGAACAGAATTGGATAAATACAGAAATGCCGTGGGGCGTCGGCTCAATCAACTGCGGGCTGGGTGATTTTGCGCTCTGCTGCTGCACATAACCAAAGAGGCGAGGTGCTTGTACTGACGTCATTGACCTTCTATGGCCATGTTAGTTCAATGTCATTGACCAAATACAACCATGTGGACATATAAATGGCATCACAACATCCCTCTCCTTTTGCTTATGTGCAGCTGAGAACAGGGAACTCCCAGCCGTAGCTATTTTGGCGGCAATGGAATGAGATTCCTTCCATTTTTAGAGGAGCTCCCCCCGTGTTTGGAGGAGCTAGGTTCAGACCTGGCTCAGTGTATCATCATCAGGAAACCCCCGTCCTGAGACATCATTGGAGTGCATGGACAGGACATGGCTGCAGGACATCAGAAGCACTGAAAGGCAACAAAGGATGTGAAAATAATATTTTATTTTTAAATCCATCATGACAATTGTTTATGATAAACAGAGCAAACTAATGAGTGTTTTTATCAGTTTTACTCAACTTTCACCCAAAGTTGACATTTTTTTCAGTTGGATTACATTTAAAAATAGTGTGAATATTAGGTAAAAGTTGTGTAAAACCTGGGTTAATAATTGATCAATAGACCCCCGAATGTGATCAACTTAGGGTTTACATTTACATTTTTGAAGATTATTCCACCCTTTCCTGCCACTAATGTAAGGCATACGGTGAAACAGAACTGCTTCCAGCTGGCCAGGTCAGCATGCGTTACTTTGGCTGCATTCCCTTGTACTAAAAGATCATGGTTGCTTCAGTGACCATAAACTTATAGCAAATATGGTTCCCTAGACTGAGATTACTAATGAATAGATGTCATCAGCAGCTGACAACATGCTGCCTGCAGCCATTTATAAGAAACGTGACTGCCTTCTTCCCCGCCGGCACCCACAGTGTGCCCTCCCTGTGCTCACTCCACTGCCTCTTCGATCACCCAGATGGCCTGATTGGATTGTATGCACTTCTTCAGTACTACTCTCCTCTCAGCCTTTGTGTGTCCTCCTCCTGCTGTACCCCTCCCCCCCCCCCCCCCCCCCCCCCCC